ATAAGAACAGGATTTTTTTTTTTAATGTTTACTGATTTGTTGCAAGCACAAAGAACAGTGACTGGCATTTAGCAAATGCTCAATAAATATTTTTTTTGAATGAACAACGAATAAACTCAAATATCAGTTTCTTGCTGAAGTGTTCTTCAGATTCTCACTGTGGAAAAGAAACAAAACAAAACAAAATAGAACTACCTTTTTTCATAGTGCTTTTGTTGTGGAGTTGTGAAAGATTATATATTAGCACCTACTAAACCATTAATGGTTACTAAATAAATATAACATAGAAGAACATAATGGAAAAACCAGATCTACTAGCCGTATGGACTCATGATGTAGCTTAGCAAAATATTTCCCTTTTAGTCCTCCTTGCAGAGTACAGACTTAAGGATTCACTTAACATAAAAATGTAAAAATCACTTATAATTCAATACTCAGAGAAAAATAATCTTTACTTCTTGCTAAATATTCTCCCAACATACTCAGACACACACACATACACATCCAGAGACATGTATATTTAAACAACATTGTTTCACATTTAATCTTTTATAACCATTTTTCACCTCTTCATGTTATTAAGTATAAATATATATCATTTTAATGAATCCATCATGTTTATTTTATGGATGTAACACAATTCATTTAAACAGACTCTGATGTTGGATATTCACACTGCTTTCATTTTTCTGATGTTATAACCAATGCTGTGGTTAACACATTTTTGCACACTACTATCTTTTTCATCTGTAGATAAATAGCTAAAGTATATATGAAATTTAAGACTTTTGAAGCATACTTCAAAAGTGCCTTCCAGAAAGTGAGTTCATCTTTCCTCCAAGCAGTGTATAAAAGACATTGTTTCCTCACATCCTTAATTAACATGGAGAACCAGGCTGCATGCTAGATTTTAATTTAATGTGTTATAATCCAACAATATTTCTTTATGATTTCTGACTCATGAACCAATGCCTAGAAATAATTTCCCTACCAAAAGATTCTAAAAATGTCCACCTATAATTTCTTCTAATACTTTTTATGGTTTCATTTTTTATATAGGAATCATAAATTCTGTCAGAAATTAATCTTGTTTTAAGTCATAGTCTAGGAATCTTTTAATTTCCAAAAGGACACTCAATTATTCTAACACATTTAATAAATAATCTATCTTTCCATCTGCATGACATATATGATACACTAAATATTTATATTTAGATCTATTTCTGGAAACTGCATATTTTCCTATTAGTCTATCTACTTTTCCTTGAGTATGACATTATTCTAATTATAACTTTATAATATACTTTAATATATTACAGATTAAGCTTCTCTTTTCTATTTCCAAATTAGAGTAAAATATATATTTATACAATATTGAATCTTTCCATCCGGGAGACAGTTGGTCTCTTTTTCATTAAAGTTTCATTATGTTATCTTGTAGAGTTTTTTTTTTTTTCAATTAATACTCATTACATTTCCTGCTATTTTTTCTACACAGTCCATATTTTAACTGCAATTGTGAAAGATATTTTCCTATTATGATATTTAAATACTTATGGTATTATTTTATATAAAGAGATATAAATCTATTATTACAATTATTTTCTAAATGAGCATGTTATATAAATCCTACTCAATATTTAGTTTTTATAGTCAATTATATAATCTTCAAATGTTAGTTTTTCCTTTTTTTGTCATATTTACTACTTATTCCTGTTGTTTGTAAAATCTGATTGCACTGGCTATTACTTTCAGAAAAATGTAGAATAATGTAAAAGTATTAAACTTTCATGATTTTAATGAAAATACTTCTAATTATTAAGTATAATAATTAAATTCTCATTTCAGTACTGAAAAGAATGATGATGGGCAATGGGCTGAATCAAATCAAATATATAAAATCTATGATTTTATAATGATAATTAAAGCAACAAGAGCAATAGCAGTGACAAATCTTCATTGATTACCATTACAGAGTGCTAACACATTGCTCTGAAATTTGATAAAGGGAAAGATCCAAGTCTTTATCTTTCCTTTCCTATATGAGCTGTGTTTTAGGGCAACCAAATAGTTTTTAGCATACTAATTCCACTTAATAAATGCTGAAAGAATGACAGAAAACCACCACTTTGCAATGCCTAATGCCTAATGAGATGATGGAACTAGGAAACAATTATGAATAGATGCTAAAAGCTATATATAACATGTTGATGGAGAACCTTATTTTGAAGGTAATCATGTTACTAGCACGTGAACTCACCAATAAGTCTCAGCAAGTGAAACAACCAGATATTATGTGCCTCATTAAGTACTATGAACTACTCTTGGCTTAAAAACAAACAATAACAATAAAGAATTGTCTGGTTCTAATCTAGCCTAAGATCTAACCACCAGTTTACAGAAAATAGGAAAAAATAGAGGAATAAAATGAGTAGCATAATGTAAAAGACTAAATCTAGAATACTGGACATTCAAAAGACAAATAACCTGGTTTCTTCAGCAAATCAATTGCATGAAAGATAAAGAAGCTCATTAGAGAATAAAAAAAATTTAAGAGACATGCAACAAATGCATTATGGACCTTGATTTAAAATCTATTTACAAGAGTCATCTTGGAAATAATTAGAGAAATTTAAATATTGATTTTAGATGATATTAAGAAATAAGTATTTAATTTTATTAACTATAATAATAGCTTCCTAAACCAACATTCCTGTCAGAGATGTATACTGAGATATTTACAGATAAAATGACACCATATCTGAGGTTTACTTTAAGATATTCAGGTTATAAAAAATGAGGAAAATACATAAAAGAGATATATTTATAATTATTGAAACTAGATGATGGGTAGATTGAGTTTATTATATTATTCTCTCTACTTTTGTGTAGTATATGTGGTTAGTGATAAAAAAGAAAGCAGGTAAGAAGTAAGAGATACGAAAAAATAGGTGAGGAACAATGATGAGTTTAAGTAAAAGAATAGAGGCAGGCAATATAGTAAGTACATATTTAAGTACGATTCCACGCTAACCCATTAAAGTAGAAGTGAGGTTAAAAAACACCAAGACAGGATGTTAAAGATTGCCTGGAATTTAGAATTGAGGCAAATAGGGTAGAAAGTGAAGAACCGGAGAAGGGAACAAAAGCACTCAAATAAGATGCCTAGAAAATAAAATGCCTAGCAGGGCACTTGCTATCTAAATCACAAATGTTTGGGAACTAACATAATAAATAATTTTTCATGTATGAGTCATTTCTCTTTAGTCTATCAACTTCTCCCACACTATTGTTTCATGTAAACCATACTAATAGGGGCTAAGATTATGAACTCCATCTCCTGGCTACTATAGCAAGAGTTACATCCACCATTGTTTATTTATAAAACTTTCTTTTAAAAAACAAAATGCTGCGATTTAAGAGACCTTTAAAATGTCTTTGGTCTCACTTTATAAATATGAAAAAAAAAATAAAACCTCTGAATTTTGCGTTATGCTAGGACATACACAGAAGGCAATCCAACGAAGACCTGCCTTGTCACATTCAATAGAGCAACTACAGAAGCAATTTGTTACAAGCAGATGGATAGTTGAACACTTAAAAGGATGATAAACCAGAAAGAAATTAGATATTGAAATCAATTTCTTTTAGGCTTACCATGAAACTTCAGTTTCACACAAACAATTGTATTTGAAGAAGTCTGAAAAAAATGCCATACTAAGATGGGTGCCCGTGAAAACAGAACTTTACACATGCTATAGCCTTTATAGTCACCATTTACTTGATTGGTCCAAATATTTATAGTTCATTGTTATGACTGCCAAAACTGGCAACCACAAGGATTGTTGTCTCAATTAGGACAGTAAACAGATTGTCTCTTTTTTTAATGAAAAAATCTAAAATGTAATACTTCACAGTTTAACATGTTTATTCATCTAAACGAGCTAAAAAATAATGGTGCGACATCTGTTCGAGAGGCATTGGTACCTCAAATTTTGGCTGCCTCCCCACCAATTTGGTTGTTGTTTTAAAAAATGAAGAATAGGAGGGAGTACTGTCATCAAAAAATCTTCTGGCATGTAAAGTATCTTATTTTTCTTGAAATAAGGATCTCATATCTGTTGCTAGGGATAAAAAAAAATTGTATAACGAGGTACTATGCTGAATACGGCTGCAGTTTAATTGTTTTAAATGAGTTACTGACCCACTATGCATATTTCCATATTGGTATAGCTCTTCACACGACTCTCCCAGTTCCCTCTACGCTTACCTGTATAGATAAAACCTGAACAAAATTGCTAAGAATATTTCTGTATGTATTGAATTCATTTACTGTTTTTCTTTTTCTTTTTCTTTCTTTCTTTCTTTTTTTTTTTTTTTTACTGTGGGTTGCACTGATTCTAGATACGGTGCCAGGGGAACAAAATCTAACAAACATCATTCTATTCAGGCTGCATTGGAGCAATTCTAATAAAAGAAGGCAGTGCTGCTAAGGCAGAAGTGGTAGGAATCTCCCCAGAGAAACCCCAGGTAAGTGTAAAGAAGTCTAATTGTTGGTAAGGAGAGAATATAAAATTACTTAGGTAGCCTCTGGTTCAACGATGTTATGTCATGGATGAAATACATTAGATTGAATAAGTTTAATTTCTAGAAGTTTGTTTCTGAAGCTCATGTATAGTATAATTCACTCTACTGAATTATCATTGACTATATAATTGAGAGCCTGTAAAATATACTGCTTTAATATTCACCTAAACATTATAATGAAAATTTAGTTCTATTTTCATTTGGATTGAAGTCGCATGCTAAGTTCAATTCAAGCATTCGGTATGATTTTAAATAAACACTAAGATTATAAGATAGCATGTTTTATTTTCTAGAATAGAGCAATGTTTCTATTCTACAGCAACCTTAAAGTTATTTTTCTTGACCTTAAAGAAAATCAAGATGAACATATATATCCTGATATAACTCAAATGCTTAATGCTAAGAGGTGAACAATATTGTGAGTTTTAAGTTTTATTTACTAAATTCAAACAATTTTTGGTCATGTACTCTACACAAAAAAATTGTGCTAGACTCTCACAGGACTAAAGACATTAACTTAAACTTTAACATGCATGTATTAAATTTGTGTGCTGGTACTACACTGTTGGAATTACAAAAATGAACAAGAACATACTCTCAGGATCTTACAATCATTAGTTAAGGTGAGACTATTTTTTTTGTCTTTATGAAAAATTATGATAGAAAATCTTGAAGTATTTTGCCACCATAAAACAATGACCCACCTTATATTTCTACTAAAATAGTCTTGTTTGTTTTAAAAGAAATTCTAGATTGTTATATTTTTATAATACTGTATCTCATCTCAAATGAATTTATATATTCTTTACCCTGTAGAAACTTGCATGCAAAATAAGAACCAGCAACTCTTCAAATTTCAATCACAGTATTCCATAGGCTATATTTTAAATCTGCTGTATTAGTGGAAATTTATTTTGCAGGGTAGGTTAACAAATAGAATCTAACATTTTGAAAAGTCATTATAATTTTTTTCTGGTTTTGTCTTCTGAATTACTCTGAGCGGTGAATTATTGGAGGGAAAATACCATGCCTAAAATTTGTGTCTGGTGCCAGTCTCAGATTTATGCCAAACACTACTCACTATTCAAAAGTGTGGTCCCTTGAAACAGCAGGCTGGATATCACCTTTCTGTCTTCAAAGATTCAAACCAGACTTTCAATCTGGGATTTCTCTACAGAGGATTGGCTGCTTCCCAGTTAATGTGAGTTTGCAAAATTTGCATTTCATGAAAACAGTGTTGTGTAAACATATATTGTGTCACTTTACCTGCTATTTCCTGAAATCGAAGTGTTAGCCTTTGGGATTTATGGCTCTCTGGGGCCAGTATAAGTCAATCAGTCATACAAATAGACCAGCTGGCTGTAGACTCAAGATATCCATAAGACTAGGCCATGAAATTTGCCTATAATTATATTATATTGGAATGAATATTTATTACTATCAGAAACATTTTTTTCCCCAAAATAACACCTCGAGACCAGGACAGAATGGGAAAGTTTTATTTAGGATGATGCATTTTCAAACATTTCTAAGAACATAATCATCTGTTTTAAATACTGTAAACTCTTTTATATCTCACTTGGATAGGTATCTAATAAGCAATTATTACATATCCTATCATTTAAATTACCACTGCAAACTAGAAATAATCTTTATTTAATATGACTGTTTTTGACACCATATGGGAGGGGAAATAACTAACTGAAAATTGTTCACGTAAATGTGATGGGAGTGGGGGGAGAAGCAGTATTTCTTGACATGTGGCATGTCACTCAGGAAAGCAAAAGGCCCATCATATCCAAAATGCCAGCTTGGATATTCCCTTGCCTCCTACTTCACGAACAGACATACCACATGGCATTAAATGCTGCAACCTTTCCTAAAAATGCCACTTGGATTGGTCCACTGTGGTGAGTATATAAGAACTTTTAGTCTTTCTCTTGAATTTGTGAGTTCAAGGGGAAGAATCTAGTAAATAACACTGGCTAAATTTTGCCCTCAGATGTTTGGCATAAATGATCTGTGAGGATATTGGAACCTTTGGCTGTTTTCACACTGATGAAATAAATTATGCTACTTGAAAAAATTTCTACAGAACATAATGCTAACCAGTCATATTCAACTTTTTGCAAAAGTACCAAAGAATATCTGTCTTTTTAGAAACTGTACTTATAAAACCCTATATACTCCTAGGATATTTACCAAGGATTTCTTCTCTTGGCCAGTATCAAAACAATCTTAATATTTTCTTCATTCTTCATAATACAATGTATATAATATAAAACATTTTGTGTACGTGTTTCAAACTATTCATTTTCTATGTATCTTTATATAAGGTAGTAGCTAACAACTCTTCTGTGGACAGATATTTTCCAATTTTCTAAGCTTCGTGTGTTATGTGTTTGCAAAATATATTTAGAAATCTGATTATCAGTAAAAATATTGAATATACTGGTCATTATGCTCCATCAAATGCAAAATACATGGAAAAATTATATAAAAAATTACATATGAAAGTAATATGAAGCATATATTTTCTTCTGTCATTTATTTTTTACTAAAGAATCCTAATTGATTAGCTCTCAAAAGACAAAAAATAATTTTGTAAAACAACTTTGTATTATTCAGATTTACGAGACAACATAAGAAAATGAATCTGAGTAAGTAGGACGTTTGTTATTACCATTACGTGAAAAAAACTGCACAATTAAATAACAAACTGTTACATACCTCGCTAACAAGAGGGGCAAACTGATACTGCAAGCAGCCAGAACAAAATAATTAAAATAGAATTCCAAGTTTATATTAACAGAGTAATAAGTTAATTAAAATCAAGATCAACCGAACTTTCTATTTACACCAGCTCATTCAGCCCAAGAGGAAAGGAACTCTATTTTAGAGACATATGTGACTCTTTGAGCTTCTGTCATCCAGGTGCCATTTCTGATGGAGCACATGTGCACTGAACAGTTGGCAAAGAAGGAAAAAGATTACTGTAGATGTATGTGCAGATAGTCTCTCTAATGATTTAAAATACGTCTGGAAAGAGAGAAGGGCTTCTTTGTAAAATATAAAATTTCCCATGACTTTTTGTTCCTTCTTAGCCTCCGAATGTGATTTGAGTGCTTCATAAATGAGAATATATATTTTACTAATGATGTATATAGAACAAAAATAGATTTAGTAATCCATAAGTGATGGAGTTATATACATAAATTGGCTAAGACATCTGAAAAATTTAGAATCTGTTTTCCATTTTATCTAAATGCACCATGTTAGGGTGCCTGTCAGAGCAGAAAGATTTATGAAAGTATCCGGTAGCATACATTATACTACATTGCTAGGTAAGGTTCTTTTCTTGATAGCCTATGCAAGTATTTAAAAAGATATTTCTGCAAACTAAAAATACCAGCAGAAAGAATTCAAGATGTTACAGTTTTAGTATTGGAAGTAATGGTCCCAAAAGATGCTTTTGTAAAATTATTTCCCTTTAATTCATTCATTGCTGCTTAGCTAATCTTCATCTGGGTCCAGATCAGGGTCAATATCCGTGGACAGTCTGAGATAAAAGAAAGCATAGAAAGCCAGTAGTAGTGCCAATATAGCTGCAAGTACAAGGCCAACTTCCTGGGGAAGAAAAAAAAAGTAGATTTGAAATTGATGAAAAGAGATTGGTTAATGTTATCAGTTTCATCAGATAAAATAAACATATTATTCCACAGCCTAGAATGAATAATTTAAACCTAATAATCACATTCTTTTTGTTTAATACTTCTTGCAATTAAGTAAAGAAACTTATGTTGTACTTGACAATTCCCAATGCAATGACACGTACATCAGTAGGTGAGTCATTGGTATTATTATTATTTCCAGTTCATTTAGTGTTTTCCTAAGAGTAAAATAAAAATTTATCATTTTAATATATTTTCATAGTTTGGATATTGAAATGTTGAACACAAGCAATGCAGTTTGTATCTACACAGTTTTTCTGTTCTCTATTTGATTATGTTTAACTTTATTTGTTGCTTAAATACATTTATTACTAGTAATAGTATTTAGATACAGAATTTTTAAAAATTTATAATTCCTTTTTATTGGGAAGAAACAGTTATTATAACTGGTTTCCAGATTATGTCTCTGTATACATCCTCATTAAATATTGCTTTGTTGAAACTCTAATTCTTAAATCCTAAATTCTGTAGTTTATATTGCAGGGAAACAAAACTGAATACTCTTAGCTAGTGAAGCATGATATAGTATAATTTATCACAACTGTGAAGGATGGTCCTGAATATTTCATTTGGTGATTTGATATGAATTATATTAATCAAGTATAATACAATCATGGTCTAAAATTTATGATGTATATTATGGTAAAAGTCATGTTATGTCCAAAAAGTACATACACATACACACATACACACCATACACATTCACACCACACACACACACACACACACACACACATATACACATACACAATCAAGAAACTTTCTCAAAATTAACATATCATTTGGCTAAGTAGAAAAAAAAGCAAATAGAGTACAATTCAGTATCCTAAGGGGCCTAATATTCCCTTCTAATTTCCACTGTGTATCACACTCCTTACCTGGCATTGTTTACAGAGAAGCAATTCATTTGCATTTACATGAATATATCTTGCATTTCATTAGAATGTAAAATAAGTAATTCAACATATATACCTAGTAAACTTTAAAAACATTAAAATGAATCTGGTTTATAATCAACATGGAGTATTTACCTGAATGTTGAAATTATAGATATTTTATACATAGTTTTAGTTTCATAATTACATTTGTTTAGATTTCCAAAATATGGACATAAATATCAATAAAAACCAGGGGGTTGGAAAACTCAGTGTCAACAATTTTTTTGAGATTTCATTTTTTAAATCTGATGTATCAATATAATGTCAAATGAAAGTGAATTTTTCTTTGTTGCAGTTGGAACACTTTGGCATCTCAAAAGGGCATGGCAGCATCAGACAGGTTTCATTTATTTTCTTATATCCACAGCTGTGCTCCCAGACCCATCTGGTTACACAGCTACTAATTTTAAGAGGATGTAATAAACAAGTGACACACAACTGCAAACTCCATCTGTTCTGTATAGTGGACAACAAAACTGTTCAACAGCAGTCACCCAAGCTTAATGCAAGAATAAAGTTTTTACTCTTGATTGGAGACCATGATTCACATCTTATTGATAGTCAACTCTAATTGCTGCTTTTCAACTCCTTATGCTTAGAACAACTCTGTGTCATTTTCACTGTATACTTTCAGAATATCCGGAGGCATGAGAAAGAGTTTTAAGTGTAGAAAGCAGAGTATATTCGTAGAATACAACTTCAGAGGACATACTAATTCAATTATGTCTGTTCAATATGTGGTGTGGGAGTGGCTTAGAAATATTAAGGTGTGGCAAATAATTTTCTTCAAAATGTCCCTATTTTGTTGAGGAAACAAGCATAGCAGAGGATGAATGTTTACGTGGTTAAAACAACGGGTAAAATTTGAAAATAATCCTTACAGGATGCTGGTGACACTAACCATAACTTTAGAGACCTGTAGGCATTTATGACTTCCCTGCCCCTTGGCCATTTTTAGCTTTAAATCAGAAATAACAAAAAAGAACAAACAAAACATTTCAAACTGGCTCATCCCAAGGGGTTGTTGGAAGGCTCTGGTTGACACTTAAATATTTGATTTATGTAACAAAAGTAAGTTTTTGGTCCTTATTCTGTTATTATAATTATCCCTGTCAAATAAACCTTTTAAATAAACAAATCAATTAATTAATAAACAGAAATCCTTTTCCTTCTAAATACTAGGAAGCATGGGCATTTATATTCTAAAAATTTTTTTAGCAATGCTGTAATTTTTGAAAAATAATCTTATAATTGGGTAGCAACCAAAAGCAAACTTAGTTGTGTAAATATTTTTAGGTGGTACTCATTGAATTACTAGGCTATAAATGATAACATTTTATTTGCATTTTTAAGACACAAAAAAAGAAAAATAGCTTTTCAGTAGAAATTAATTCTAGATTTTAACACAATCTATTCATATCTTATGCTGAAATGATTAACTGCTCCCCCACAACATTTTCTGAACTAAACATACATTTAGAAAAAGCTCTAGAAGCCTTTAAGGGTAAAGGCCCTATTGTATAATTCTTTGTATCTCAACCCATGATTTCACAGCCAGTACTGTTGACTTGCTATGGTAATTAAATCTAGAAGTGATTTCTTGCATAAGTTCTTCCAAGACAATCCTGTTTTATTTATCTTTCTTTCCACAGGTGCTACTATATTGTAATATTTGTAATTTCTAAATAAATAATGAATGACTGAGTAATATTTATATGATATTTATACAAGGTATATTAAAATTATGTAATGCTTTTAAAACTTTACAACACTAGTATACATAATACTATCTCCACAGCCAAACTGGGAACATTTTGTTACACAGCCACACAGTGTGAACTTAGTTGAAGCAGGGCATCTTAAGGCCAATGGCAAACATTTAAGGGAAGTCTTATTTATACATACTAGAAATGGTTAATTCAAACAAATATTTTCTCAATCAGCTAATGATTCATAAATTACTTCTATGCTCTAAGTTCAACATTTGCACTGTATTATTTAGCTCTCCTAACAGCATTATGAGGTCAATAGCAAAATCTCAATTTTACAAATGTGCCACCTTAGACTGAACTAGATTGTGGCAACAGTAAGGGGCAGGATATGATCCTAGGCCTCCATATCTTGTGTTCAATGTTGTTGTCATTGCTGTTATTTTTCTATCTATGCACCTGTCCATATTTTCTGTAGATTTAAATTATTTGAAGAGCATCATTATGATTCATTCAAAAGAATATGTAGTAAAGTGATAAAATATTATAATATTATGGTCATTCTGTATCAAGTAGATGAGTCAAACATGTTTGATGTTCATTAGTCCTTAGTTGCTTCTCTGACATTATCAATATGGATAAAATCACTCACTGGGGAAATTAAAAAGCATTAAATGGCAATTCCTGAAAGAAACTTCGTTATTTAAAATCCTATGCCAAAATGACAAGGCAATCAAAGTTTGACAGGGCAAACTTATTAGTATGCTAGATTTGAAATGTAAAACACCTCCATGGTTCTGATTCTAAAAAATTTCATATCATCTTAATAGGCTCCTCACATAAATTTTCAAGCAAAATAAACAATATTTGAAGTTAAGGTCTTTGTTTTCCACAGGTTTACAAATAAAAAATGATATGCTAGCTTATTAAAACAGAGCTATGTTCTGATGTCAGTTTGAAACTCTTCGGTACACACTTGAAATAGGAAATAAAATCTGAGAAAAAATTTTCTCATAACAAGATTAAGCAAATTCTACAATGTTTTTAAAAAGATAATAATTGTACATTATAAGGGAGATTTTATCTCACACTGGGAACATAGTTATTTCTTTAAATTAAAACATAAAAATTATGAACAAATATTAAAAAGTATGTAAAAAGGGTATATAAATAAATGAATGGCTGCACTATTTCTCAAATTCTAATATGTAACTGATCATTATATTGCGCCACAAGTGGACTTTGTTACCATAATACTTTTCTTAAAAAAAACAAACAAAAATTTAAAAAAACCCACTGCATTATAAAGCATAAAAGTAAGCACTATATTTCCTTGCAGGACAATGACAACAATACTCTCACTTCAAGAGATAGTCACCAAGTGACTAAATAGAAAATAAAAAAGTATACATTGCTTTTAGAAAAGTCATGTCATCACAATAGTTTTTAAAGATGAGTAAAATTTCATATGGATTTAGAAAAATACTTCAAAAGATGAATCTTCTCTCTTTTAAACAGAAAGGCAATTTGCTTTTTTTCATTAAAAACTGACACACAGCACTAACTGAGGAGACTGTGTTGTGAAAACATACTGCATCATACGGCAATGCTTGATCAAAATCAGCAATCAAGAGCAAAAAGAAGGCAGTGTTTCATGATCATAATAGCAAATTCTGGAAGACAACCAAATATATCATCTGGCAGTTCAACAGCTGTTACAGCTTGGTAGTAATACCTTGGCATTTGCTATAAGCTATAACTTAGAAAAATTGATTTTTCATCTGCCAGATAAAAACCAAAATCTCCTTTTAACATCTTAATATTTAAATAAAATATATGTACTGGCCATTTTTATTTTACCCATTTTATAGTAGGGTTGCCAAATTAATTTTTCTATTAATAGTTTAATTCAACTCTAAATACCTGGCAAAAGATTGACATGGGAAATAATGTAAATGTAATTTTGTTCAGCTTAACTGTGCTGACACATTGAATTCACTGTCTACTAACATCATTATTAGATGCATTTATCCTTCCTAAGCAGATATAACACTGGTATTCCAAAAGAACAAGTTTGGGAGCATCATTAGACTTTCTTCATAGAGAGTACTGACAATAATAAGATATACAGAATAAAATTGCATGTATTAACGAGCTAAGTATATATAATTACAACTATAGTTTTAGCAACTATAAAGAAAAAATTATTAAAAACAATAGAAATTTTTGACTAAGGCCACATATATCACTAAAATGTATGAACAATATACACAGTAGCAGAGAGAATATAAATTGCAACTTTAAGTATAACTGCTTCTCTTAAGTGACACTGTGTTTTATTTTAAGACCCTTTAAAATTTCAGGATAGGAAGGATGTTTTCCATTAGGTAAATTCTTTGCAAAAAAACCTTCGAGTCTGGCATTCTATTTAGATTTTGAAATGTCATAAAACATTTAGAATTCAACATTTATGAAATCCAGTTTTAGAAAATGAAATGGCATGCACATATCAAATTTTAAAGTTATCAAATAGAGGTCTACCTTTATGCCTATTGCTGTTTTCTTTGCTTCTGCTTTTAATTTGGTTGCTCGTAAAATAGGTTTGGTTTTTTTATAATCCTGTTTACCTAGAAAGAAATAGTTTTAGACAATGAGTAATGCTTATATATAATTCAAGTTTAACAGTCATCTGAATGTCAAGGAATGTTTAAATAGAGTAAAACAGGGGCACAGAGTTGCAAAGTACTTCCCAGTTGTAGTAACCGAATACTTTCACATAAACAGTCACACACACAATGGTCAACTTTTCTTCTTTTCTTCCTCGCATACTTTTTAAAGAAGATACTGACAGACATTTTTGATTTCAAGTGCAGTGAAAATCAAAATAGATAAAAACTTATTTTAGACAATAAGAAGTTTAAAGTAAAGAGAATAAATCTTTTGGAAGCATTTGGAAACAAATGCATAAATAAATGAGTATATGTAAGATCTCATTAATAGGTAAGGTTAACTTTGTCTTCATAAATGAAGAGTAACAGCTCATTATAAATTTATTTTATTATGGATACATTATTCAAAAAATCAATGAGAAATATCCCCTAGTTTTTTTCTAAGTAAGAGACTAAAGAAAAAATATGTAGACAACCTGTAGACAATATGTAGTCACCTGAATTCATTAGAAAAATATGTATTTAACTTTCTTCCACTTAAAAGAAGACAGAATAAATATAGCTAGGTAAAAGATGTAAGATAGCTACATTTAGATATTAGTTTCAGTCATCACTGCCACATTTCACAGCCAAAAATGAGAAAAACTGAGCTTAAAATTTCCTTCTTTTGTGTACCATCTGGTGACCTCACCAATGAGTAACAAAGAAGTATTACACAGCCTGGGGAGAAAATAGACTTAACAACAACAGCAACAAAAGCATTTACTACAATAGTATACATTTTGTTAACCAAACTCTTAACTAAGAACTGAGTCAAATGATCCTCAAATATAACAGTATATGTTATTCTGAGTGGGAGTCAACATATGACTGTATAATTTCTCTGGCTATTTTATATTCTTATTTTGCCTTGTTTTTGTCTTATAATGGCCAGTTCCTTTCCCAAACTTAATCTACATTTCCATCATCTAAATAATACAAGTTCTAATTTTAATTTCCACATCTCCCTCACATTGAAATAAATTGGAAAGCAGTTCACCTAAAGTATATCATAAAAATTTAATGTGTAATATATTTCCTAAAGTGTTTACTATGATCCAAAAGTATCTTTAAAATTTCATATAGACTTTTAGAATTAGAAATGGCAGAGAGAGGTGAGTCAAATGGATGGGAGTCATGAGAAAATGCTGTATTTGTGTTCATTAGACACATAAAAGTATTTGTTTGCTTGAATAGCTCTGTGTTTTCTTTTTAAAGAAGTGTGTTCTTTCTCCTTAACTGCTATTGTATACCAGTAATTCTAGATCTATGAGCATGCTGAAGCTTAATAAATATTATTTGATGATGGGGTTTAATGATCCAGAAATGAGCCAATTGTAAAAATGTATATCAAATGATCTAAATTTAAATCATTTAAATACAGAAAAATATTACTCTGACCCATTTTAAATTAGCAACATTTAATTTTGATGAAAAAATCTTGACAAGTGTTCACTCTGATTTCACATCTCAACAGTCAAACTATTCATGTCATTATTCCCGCTGGGATATAAACAGTTCAGAACAATGAAAATGGTGACACATCAAATGCCGTCACTCAGGGTTATAGATCAAGTTTTTGATGAGAATCTAAAAAAGAAATTTGAAGATTATGGATTTAAAGCCAAGATGTAATTTCTTGTTTTATACTGTATATGCCCTATAATAATCTCTGGGTAATATGGGGAAACAATAAACAAATGAAAAAGGATTATCTTAACCCTTGTTAAGATACTTGTTTTTCATACAAGTATGCAATATTTTAGATAAGGTGTCTCTCATTAAATAGACTCAGATAAACCTCAAAGAGTCAAGGTTAAAGTGAGAATTTATCACACTACTTCAAGTGCCATATAACCATGGGTTAAATGATATATTCTATCTAAATTCAACTCTTATATTCTCATAGAGAATAATATTCTAAATTTATATTACAAGTTAATATGAACTTATGAAACTGTATTTATAATAAAAAAGATAGTATTAAAAGTTTTTGTACATCTGGTACTTCTCCAAACAGTGCATCTGTCCTTAATTTAGTATTTTCCTTGCTGACTATGATATCCAAAAGTATATATTGCAAAATGTGGTTTTAGTCTACTAAGTGAAAACATTTACAGGGCTATCTGCTAAATTCTTTATAATTAAAACCAGATCTTTCCATTGAACCCAAAGAAGTTTTCGACATTTGAATTTTAATGGATTCAAGAAAGATATCTATGCCCACAGGATTGTAAAAAATATAAAATACAGAAGTCCCTGACTTCTGAGTACTTACTTATACCTACAAAAAACCCCACTTAGATCAGCGGTTTGGCACCAGGGACAGGTTTCATGGAAGACAATTTTTCCACGTACCAGGGGTCAGCAGGTGGGGTGTTGTGGGGGAGGCGTTGTGCGGAGCTCAGGTGCAGATGGATGGCCCATTTCCTAACACATCAGGTACTGGCACCTGGCCATGGCCCGGGGCTGGGAACCACAGACCTAGATAATCTAGATTTTGTAGACTTTTTCTAGAAAAAAATTGGGTCTGATTTTGGTTATATCAATAATGTAATAACTAAAGTAGCTATTTGACAATTGCCCATTAAGTTTTATGTGGAGAGAAAAACTTTGTAATTCAAGCCCATGAAGCCAATCTAGGGCTGCATTCATCTAGTTTCTCTATTCACAATGACACCATTCATCAAATAATTTCTGTACTTTAATTTTCTCTGATATATTACACCTTAGTAAACAGCTTTTTCTCTTCATCTCCATGTTCTTGATTGACTGATTTATGTCTTCTCCCTCCAATATAATTCTATAATATTGTATTATTTTAAAATTATTATATAGTAAATTTGACTTGCTTTCTTTGGTATACATTTCTACAAATTTTAATATGCATGTATAGATTCATGTAACTACCGCCTTATATAATTAGAATATAGAATTGTTCCATTACCCCCTAAAACTCCCATATGCTATACTTTTATAATTATCCCTCTTCAAACTCATAATTCCTATCAGCCACTGATCTATTCTCCATTCTTATAGCTTTCCCTTTCAAGAAGGTGGCAATAAAGTGACAATGGCTTCTTTCCTTCACTATAAGACTTTTAAGATTTACCCAAATTGTATGTATCAACAGTTCATTAGTAGTATTGCATTATAGAAAAAGGTACCAGAGTTTGTTTATTAATTCACCCATTGAAGTATACTTGGGTTATTTCCAGTGTCTGGCAAGTATAACCAGAGTTGTTATAAGCACAGCTGTAAAAATTTCTGTGTGAACGTAAGTTTCCATTATTTTAGGGTGAGAATGCTGAGTCATATGACAAATATATGTTTAATTTTATAAAAAGCTGCCAAATAATTTTCCAGAGTAGCTATATCACTTTGCATTCCCACCAGCAATATATGAGAGTTCTGGTAACTTTGCATCATCACTAGCACTTGGTACTGTTTTATCTAGATTATCTAATTTTCAGCATACAACTGTTCATAATATTGCCTTATATTTTATTTCTGTAAGGTCAATAGTGATATATACTGTTTCATTCCTAGTGTTAATAATTTGAATGTTTTCTTTTTTTCCCTCATAGTTAGCCTAACTAAAGTTTTTTTCAATATTGTTGATCTTTCCAAATTAACAAACTTTCGGTTTTGTTGATTTTTTTCTCTTGTTTTTCTAGTCTCTGTTTTGTTTACTTCCACTTTAATCTTTATTATTTCCTTTCTTTTACTTGCTTCAGATTTAGTTTACTCTTTATTTTCTAGTTGGTTTAGGTAGAAAGTTAGGTTATTGATTGGAAATCTTTATTCTTTAATAATAGAGTAATTAACAGGTATTAATTTCCATGTAAGTATTGCTTTAGCTGCATCTCCTAAGTTTTGAAATGTTATGTTAGGTTTTCACTCATCACAAAGTATTTACCTTGTGCTTTCTTCTCTGATCTATTGTTTATTTAGAAGTATACTATTTAATAAACACATTTGTAATTTGTTTAATCACACAAATTTCCTTCTTTAGCAATTTCTAATTTTATTCCATTGTGTTAGAGAACAAACTCAGACTAGATAATCTCAATTAACTTCTCTCTATGTTCTCTTATTCTCTTTTGCCAGTTGAAATTGGTTGTAGAGCCTCTCTAAAATGTTTTTATCAGTTATTATACTTTTCAACTTCAGAATTTCTACTTTATACAGAAATATACACATATATCTATATACATATATGTAAGAATATATGTAAGAATATATATGTATATAGATATATGTGTCTATACATATATATAAATTTATAACTATCTAATACTATTCTCTATTTAGTGAGATATCATTCTCATAATTTAATTCTTTACACTTAGTTTTCTTAAATTTTTGTATGTATTTTAAATGGCTGATTTAAAGTCTTTGTCCAGTAAGTCAAATGTCTGAGCTTCCTTAAGAAGTTTTTATTGTTTTTGTGTGTATATATGAATTGTACTCCACTAATTTTTTGCACATTTCATAATTTCCCATTGAAAATTGAACATATTTAATAATGTAATGTGGCAACTCTGCAAATCAGATCTCCCCTAGGTTTTATTGCTGCTGCTGTTTGTCCTTTTTTGGTTATTGGAGTCTTTCTGTTTAGAGACTTTTCTGGACTAATTCTGTAAAGCCTGTATTCTTTATCATGTGTGGTCACTGAAGTTTCTGCTATGGTTTAAATATGTCCCCTAAAATATATGTAGTGGAAATTTAATTCCCATGACAACAGTGTCAAGAGGTGGGACCTTTAAAAGGAGATTAAATTACGGATTGATTAATGCCATTATTGCAGTAGTGGGTTAGTTATCACAGGAATGAGTTCATAAAAAAAGGATGAATTTGACCTCCCCTCTTGCTCTCTCTTGTGCATGCTCTTTTGCCCTTCCACCTTCCATCATGGG